TAGCAACAGGACTAGTCTAATATCACTTTCACGAACTGGCTAGGAACAGGACTAGTTTAATATCACTTTCACGAACTGGCTAGCAACAGGACTAGTCTAATATAACTTTTACGAACTGGCTAGCAACAGGACTAGTCTAATATAACTTTCATGAACTGGCTAGCATTCATTGATTTATTGATTAGCAGTATAATTCTATTTAAATCATTGTTTCTTCAGACGTGTTTTAAAATTGTATGATATTCATTTTGAGTATTTTGCAAAGAAAACAAGAAATAAAACGTTACAAGTTTCACTTCTGTACAGCTCCATGGAGTCTCGCTAGTAAACACAAGTTTCACTTCTGTACAGCTCCATGAAGTCTCGCTTGTAAACACGAGTTTCATTTCTGTACAGCTCCATGGAGTCTCGCTTGTAAACACAAGTTTCATTTCTGTACAGCTCCATGGAGTCTCGCTAGTAAACACAAGTTTCACTTCTGTACAGCTCCATGGAGTCTCGCTAGTAAACACAAGTTTCACTTCTGTACAGCTCCATGGAGTCTCGCAGATCTGTTACCTGTACGTTTTGTATGTGTATTATACAACAAAGAAAGATCTGTTACCTGTACGTTAAATTTTGCAGTAGAGGGTTAAAATACTTAACCAAATTGTATAAAATTTGCCACACTCCTTCCACCTAATATCTAATTTGTGTTCTTCAAACCACTATACCATTGTGCAATGTTTTAAATCTCTGATTTTTTATGAAGTTGTTTTGTACAAAAAAAGGAGGCAAAAGTAATTCCTTTTGATCATTGCCAACCTACTTTTAAAGGTGAGTGGTGTTAGAAGCAGTTAGACGAACTCTTGTCACTAAAGAAACGACGTGACAAAAACAAAACAAAACATAATGCTTCGAGACGGCTTGAATGGGTAATGAAGAAAAACGTTTTCTTCATTACCCATTCAATCCCTCTCCAAGCATTATTAGTCTCAAAGTGGGTTCCTCGTCATCGAATTTGAAAACAAAACATAGATAGTTATTTTGCCAAGAGATGATAGTTTATTAGCAATTATATAACCATGCTTTGGAAAAAGCAGAAAAAGTGAAGAAAAATCAACAAATCCTGTGTTTATTAGCGAGACTCCATGGAGCTGTACAGAAATGAAACTTGTGTTTACAATGTTACCTGTACGTTTTGTATGTGTATTAAACAACAAAGAGATCTTTCTTTGTTGTTTTTAAACAACAAAGAAAGATCTGTTACCTGTACGTTGTGTATGTGTATTTACACATACAAGACGTACAGGTAACAAATCTATCTTTATTGTTTACAAAACGTACAGGTAACAAATCTATCTTTGTTGTTTAGTACACATACAAAAACGTACAGGTAACAGGTCTATATTTGTTGTTTAATACACATACAAAACGTACAGGTAACAGATCTTTCTTTGTTGTTTAATACACATACAAGACGTACAGGTAACAAATCTTTCTTTGTTGTTTAATACACATACACAACGTACAGGTAACAAATCTATCTTTATTGTTTACAAAACGTACAGGTAACAAATCCATCTTTGTTGTTTAATACACATACAAAACGTACAGATAACAGATCTATCTTTGTTGTTTAATACACATACAAAAGCTTCAATTCTGTATTTGAATGCTCTTACTTCCAGGTAATAGTTTAAATAAACCATGGAATTATTTTTGTTGGTTCCTCAATAGAACAGTGTTACTTCTAGGAAACGTATCTATTTAGAACTTATCAAAATATATTCCCAAAAACATTTTCTTTTGCGAAATGTAGACCTATTTAATTTGAAATTCAAAGAAAACATCCTTCCCACAGTTTTTTCATAATGTGTGCAACAGAGAATGAATAACATATTCTTTGTTTGGTTCCAAACTCATACCATGACCAACTTTCAAATAAAAGTGGACGAACAGACAGAAAAGGTATCTCAAATAATATGTTGAAATCTGCTGGGTTTTTTTCTTTTGTTGTTGTTTACTGAAATATGAGTTAGAAATGACTGACCTTTTAAAAAAAATTATAATTAATAGCTTGTGTATACGTTTTGCAACTTTAAAGTTTTGAATATTACTACTTCACTTGAGTAGTAAGTGGGTAGTAGTTTTATGTAGAGTATTAGGCGTTCAGTTTGTAATGAACAGATAGAAACAATTAAGATTAATATGCTAAGAGAAAAATATCATATATTAATTATTATAAATTAGTATTTAACATCAACAACCGTATTTTACAACAACCTCATAAATGAATAACTATATTCCGCTTAAATTTATACGAAGGGTTGCTTAATTACCTATGTTAATTAAGAGGTTAATGATATTTAAGTTTGGTCTAAGTAGGTAGGACGTTAATGCTCATTATATTATGACATTTTATTGATAATTGCAAAGACAGTGGTTTCAGTTTTTAGCCGTTTTATTTTTGTCTCGATAGCAGAAAATTTACATGTTGTTGTTTGTTATAAAGCACAGAACTACACAAAGGACTATCTGTGCTCTGCCCACCACGTGTATCGAAACCCGATTTCTAGCAGTATAAATCTGCAGACATGCCGCTGTGCCACTGGGGAGTAAATTTATATATGACAATCATTACTTGTAATGCTTTAATTACGGCCAACTCTATCAACTCATCAACTGATATTCATAAATGAAATATTGTTCTAGAGTTAGATTTTTTTTTAAATGTTATTTTCCTAAACAGTAAGGAGATAAGAATATAACTTTTCTCTCACCAATTAAAAACTAGGAGCGATTAAAGTATGCTATCCCTATTTGATAAGGACAGGGAATGTGTTCACTTTTTATCGCTCTATAGCATTTTTATCCCTGCTAAAAAGAGCCTCTTGGTTACGGTCATTAAGATAATTATCCGCATATGTGTATGTTGTTTTTTTCTTTAATAAAACTTTATGATATGCATGTAGAACAATTTGATCAAAATTAAACTCAAATTCTAACAGCTGCAAACTGCTTTCGGTGAACTTTAAATCTCCGAACGTGAATACCACGTGAGTGCTAGAAAACATTGATTAATGTATTCTATTTTCAATTCAATTTGACCAAAGAATAGTGCCCTTAAGACATCTCTCGGAAAAGCTATATGTGTTTAAGAGTAGAATATTCCCTTAGGTTGAATATGTGTTATAATACATCCAGGAAAAGCCAGAGGCTCAGAAAATACTATATAACTTTCACAGACAGGAGGGCATGGCCTAACTTACTTAGCGATAACTAGCTAGCTAGGTTGGGTCTGTTACTGGATCTCGCGTAATGGGAAATTTTCTATCTAGAAATACTTAAACACAATGGCATCATGACCTGTTTTCTTTCTTTCTTTTCTTCAGGATTTCATAATCAAGCCACTTTCCTTAGTGTTCTATTTATCAACTTGTCTCCGTACTTCGTCATTACAGTGAGCTTCAATGTTTGGTTTTAAAATCAATAAGGGTAAAAAAAAAAAAAAAAATCTAGAATAAAAGGACATATTCTAAATTGTTCAATTTGCAATCCAAAATAAAAAAAGGGGGTTTGCGTTTATATAGTTTTTCCCTTAGAATATGTTTGTGCTATTTTTAACTAACTCTCTCGTGCATTACCGGACTTGTATGTATGTCTATGTGTGCTTGTATAAATGAAGTGAATTAGTCTCAAATTGTTTAAGCTCCTGGACACAGTTTCTCAGAACTCAAACTATTTAATCATCAGTCTGCTACAAATAATTGGAGAATACAACAAGGAAAAACTGAGGGAGTAAATCAAATTTCGTTGGGAACTTACGGTGAGCCTCATTAATCTTGCCGTCTTCCTCTGTCGAAAGTCTCGGCAATTAGGCTGAAGAGGGAGAATGGTTTGCCGCCAGAGGGCTTCCTCCGTTACTGGGAAGAAATAGGACGCACTTTCCGCGGGACACTCAACTTCTGCATCGCGTCTCAAAGGCATTATGTATCCGGGACTCGCGCTTGAATTCGCTTGGTCTTCTATGATTTAGTTCTGCTCACAGATTGCGTTTTCAAGTGTAATTTTATATCACAGATTTCAACATTAGATGAGGATTACTGAACAGACCAACCCATCCAGATAAGCAAAGTCTGTTAGTTAAAACGAAGCAGGATGTAGAAGATTTCTAACTAGACGGATGAAGAGTCCAGCGACTTACTACTGAGTTATGAGTCAGGTACGCTGTGTTTCTGTTTAGTAACCACTATTATGGCAAGACATTAGGGAGTAAAATATACGTTAGGAATAATCACGTGATGAGACATCTGTGAAAATTAGTCCTAACGTGTAATAAGAAACAAGTATTTGTCAATGTGAATTCGTGAGAAAATTATTGTGATTATTATCTGCGTTTCATGTACATGATCGGTTAATTTGCATATATCTTAAGCACATTTATGACGTATTACATTTCAGTTGCAATAAATACAGTTCCCTTGTCATTTCTTGCATAATGTGTTTACACAAATTGGATAGATAGTTATATGATGTAAACACCTGTGATCTAAGTTACAACTAACGAAGCGTATAGTGTTTAATAATGTTTTGTGTTGCAGCAGTTTGGATTAAATCTAGCAACTGTGTTAAGTATTGTGCTTTCGGATATTTTCGTGGTTGTTTAGTTGTGAAAACAATTAAAAATGTTTCTATGTTAGCGTATGCATTTTGTAGCAAGCATTAAGTACAAAATTTTGACACCTGGATACAGAGATTAGGTTTGGTTCCACGATTTTCGGGGTGTCTCACACAAAATGTAGATGCGGTTGAAATGATCAAACACATTTTTTTGAATTGGATAGATCTCAAAGCAACAGAGAATTAAGAGAAGCAGAAGTATCCCATTCGGGTGTTTCCTGTTTGAAGGCCTGAAATCACACGAATTGTTTTTTAATTTGACAAAGAGCTCCTACAGAACCACAGCTCCTGTGAAACAGATTAAAGTTTAAACAGGCTGATGCAGTCCATATATATAGTTTTCCTCATCATGATCACAGATCCTTCGTTCTCTCAAAAAACAGGCTCTGTGCTATATAATGATTTATATATGTTTCTGTGTTTTCCGTAATCTTTTCTTAACAGTCTAAGATTTGACTCTAATATGAAAATAGCGTTATAAACTTTTAATTCCGTTCATTTAGCATCCAGATTATAGTTTTTTAAATGAAGTTTACTCTTGTACGTTTGGCGTGTTATAGATACTAAGTTCTATTGTAGCTTACCTGCAGTACACTATTTTTATTACATAGTGCTCAGATAACATATGTTTTGATTAAGATAAAAACAAAATATTTATATATTTTTTAAATACGTAAGGATTTATTCTCCTCACCTTTGTGCTTCCGCCTCCATTTTGACGGTACTGTCAAAATCCGCTCACAAGCACTAATTACTGGTGGCGCCATCTCTAGTAATCTGTCTAAACTACCAGTACAGTTTTCACGCCCGGCGAAAAGAGACGTAATCACAGCAGGTCGTCATTAATTTCACACAAAACCGAAGATTACTCTGAGCAAGGAACTCCCCCTCCAGTGTGTTTATTAAGCAGTTTGTCAACCACGCCTATTAAATACTGATACCATTGAATTAATGATTACGACAAGAATTTCTTTCGCTTACTTAGCAAAAAAAAAAAAATCAATTATTGATGATAACGTGGCTAGTCACGTATTCTAAAGCATTTTCAATTTTTTTTTTTGCACAGGAATAAAAAAAACAAAAAATATTTTTTATGTCCAGTTTTGAAAATTATCTATTCATTAATTCAATATTTACGACTTTCAATTAGAGCCCCCACCCCCAGTGGCACAGGGTATGTCTGCGGATTTACAGCGCTATAAGCCGGGTTTCGATACCCGTGGTGGGCAGAGCACGGATAGCCCAATGCGTAGCTTTGTATTTAACTACAAGCAAACAATTCAATTAGAATACAAACTGGATTAACTTCCGCAAAATGATTAGACGAGTTACACCTAGATGGTTTTATAAATTTCACTTTTTTTGCTATAATCAAACATATATAAGTAATTTCGTTTTATTTTTCTATAAATTTATATTTTTGACTTTGATTTTAATATTTGGACATTAAGTCATACGTTTAAGTGTCTACGGTGAATGAAAATGCATTTGTACTATATAATTTGTAATTGATTTCAGAGACATGAAATATTGTTTAACGCACACTTCGAAAAAATATTTCACCTATGTTCGTGATTGCCCTCCATCAAAATTAAGGCGACGAACGTCTTATGAAAAACTGGAATATTAGCAAATGTACGTCGTTTTTTATAGTTTTTAATCCAGCTTTCTATGTGGAGTGGGCGTTTCCATCATTGCATATATTTGGTCTTTGTTTATTCAATAATACTAGAAACGACCAAACTCTGCAAGGTATAGTGTTATTGAACCAAATGTTTTCTCCTTGTATTAATATTCATATCGTAGGTTTTAACTGCTTATTAATCGTATTAAGATAGCTTGAACACTATGAAGGGTTGTTATATTTATTTTTTCTAAGTTTATAACATTTTTTTTCTATAGATGATAGGTTTGCTATACACAATTTGGTACCAGGGAGGAATATATATGAATAGAATACTCTTGTAGAAGTACATAACTTAACATTAAAGGACAACAAGGGACCTTATGGTCCATCTAAGTCGTCCTTTCCACTATATTAAACTTAGTACTATAAAACTCAAAGTCAGCTCTTATCATTCAAATATTTATCAAATTTTTCCTTAAACACCCTAAATTACCCTCATCTACCACATCTAAAAGCAACCCGTTCCGAAGGACAACCACCCTATTAGAAGAATAATCTGTCTTAGCTGAAGATGGTTCCTACACTGCCAAATTTATATTTGTGTTTCATAGCCTTACCATTTTCACCATTACGCATCAACCCTGTCAATTCCCTTAACAATCTTAAACACCTCAATCAGATCCCCTCTAACTCTTCTTTTTCAACAGAAAACAAGATGAGAAATTTTAACCTATCCTCATATGACAACCTTTCTATCTCAGGTATCATCCTAGTAGCCCTTCTCTGAACCCTTTCCAACAATTCAATGTCCTTTCCAAGGTAAGAAGCCTAAAATTAAACGCGCAAGCGCACACTTAATTCTGTCTAACCTCAACACTTCGTTCCGTCTGTGTTCTTATTAATTTCAGCTATTCCTAACTGAATTCATTTGGAAGACCCAGTGGTTCAATAATAATTGTTAGGACTTATAACACTAGAAATCTGGTTTCGATTCACGTGTTGGGTAGAGCACAAATGGCCCATTGTGTAGCTTTGCGCTTAACAACAAAAACAAATAAACATATCCACGCGGGAGGCTTTTTTTTTTTTGGATTGTGTCAGCATCTTGTTATACGATACAGTTTAGTATCTGCACACTCGCTTCTTAGTTGTTAAGGAATTGGGTTAGATGTTTCTCCAAATAGGAATATAAAGATTATCCGTGTGCAAATAACGTGCATTTTTTTTCACATTGCCAAAAAAGGAAGCTTAAAGAGAAAATTGCCCGCATCTAGTCATCACAGGAAATTAAACTTATATATTGATTATATGTCTTCACTCGGGTAATTGTGACTGAGGCACCGAATCAGAATTGTTTTATTTTTATAATATTCGATTTTTTTCTGTTACACAAATCAATAATTCGTACTTTTTTTTTATTAATTAGACTTGTCTCATCCGTAAGAGAATCCTTTATGGAATATTTTCTGCAAGTTAATACACCCTGTTTGCGTAAGTATAGGTGTTGTGTTAAAAACTGATGCGTGTTGCAATATACATTAATATGTGTTGTATTGTATTTAACATGTATTTTGGCGACTGTTAACGTTTAGAGAATGTATGTTGTGCGAAATATTAAGATGGAAGATAACATGTGGGGCGCGTTACTATATTTTGCGTTCCTCAATAGTTCAGCGGAATGTCTGTTGGCTTACGACGCTATAAATCGGATTTCGATGCCTGTGGTGAGCAAAGCACAGATAGCCTATTGTGTAGCTTTGAGTTTAGTAACAACCAAAACCAGTAATACCTTTTGCGACGCTGGGAGCTCTTGAAATCAATTTTGCTATAAAATTTCCTAGTGATCCCCAGAAAACACAAGCGTCTAAAACCATTCTTTGAACAATTGGTTTATATAACAATAATTCTGTGAAATTATCTCGTCCCCACATAAATTGCAGTAAATAATAATAATGATACTAAAAAAAGACCAATTTCGAGAACACCCCCATCAAGCATATTATTACTGACAGTTATTCACTTGTCAAATTTTTATCTTTCTGCCTTGAAGACTATAATTAGGTTTTATCATTAATTTTTGAAATTAGCAGACTTTTTATTTCTGTGCAACGTTAACCTTGCATGTATCCAAATATAATAAAGGCTATTATAATGATAATACAACTCTCATTGTACTCAACAAGGTTTTGTCCTGATGCGCGGAGATGTAAATAAAGTTCGTGGGGGGTCAACCAGATTAGTTCTTATTCTATGTATCCGATCTGTAATGTTTAATATTTGGTAAATAGAAACAGTAAAATAAAAGTTTATTTTTTTAATGCTTTACGTGAACTATCACTATTTAACTATGAGGATTAAATGTAACATCCGTGTTTTGGATAGTTTACACTATTTTGGTGATTTAAGTGATGGGTTAATCGCACGTTACTTGAATGATGCTCCGGGTCACGTGCTGCCCTTGGAACTACAACCTCCATCGTCGATCCTGCTCGGCCTGATTGCCATGATTACGTGCTATTGCTCGTCGCCGCAATTTCCGTTTTAACGAACTTCTGCGAAGAATGGCGAAGCCAATCTTAGACCACAGATCGTTAAAGAATTTCCCCAGCTCGTCCACTGCACGTGGACGTCTACTTTCAATATCACATTTAAGCAGACCAAAGGCACAAAAGTCCATTGAGGGACTTGACAGGTATGTGGTCGAACGAGGTTGCTGTGATTCCAGTTTTTTTCGGCCATCTTTCTCATGAAGACAGCTGTAGATTTCAAGGTGTGGCGGGAAGCTAGTGAACTTTTCGCTTCTGGGTTTTTGTCAGCTTCAAATCCTTGTTTATTATCTCGTTAACGTACCAGGAGATATGCTGAATTTTATTGCAATGGCTTTATGGGTCAAATATTTCTTTTTCGTAACCAAA